AATACTCTGCCAAGGCTCAACCTAAAATTATAACTACTCCACCCTCCACATAATCCACCTTAACCCACCTCCACATATAGCCGTCCCCTTCCACCTCACCTCCACCCAAAATTATGGCTTGCTGAGTACTTTATGTACTCAACCCCCTCAATTCTATGTTTTTAGGAGTGAAACTATAGAGCATGTACTAGGATGGAATTACTGGAGCTACGAGGATAGGACAATAGGAGAACACACGAGTAAGAAGCTATCGAGGACTATGTAAGGATAGGACAACCAGAGTATACTTGAAGACAGAGCTGTACGACTACACTAAGGAGCTATGCTAGGCCTACTACGATTGAAAAATAGGAATGCGCTTAAGGAATAAGTCTAAGGTTACGTTCGAACTCCAAGTTGCCTGTAGGAATGGAGCCACGACAACATAGGACCATTGTCTTAGAACTTTGATATACGATATAAGGCTAATGGCCCAAGCTATGTAAACCTGAACCATGTAATGTGTTTTTCCCCATTAGCAATAAAAGTATGGTTTTTTATATCAATCTTGTTCGAGTTGTACGTATCAGCTACTGATCTAGGACAGATACATGATGCATAGAGGACCCTAAATTAGGGGCCCAACTAAAGATGGCAACGGGCGTGGTGCCCGTGGATACTACCTTCTTACGCCCACGCCCGCTAGCTAAATCTCTCGCCCATGCCCGCACCCGCGACCCGCCATGGGCAACAAACCACGCCCGTGCCCTCATGCCCGCGGGCATGCCCGTGTGCCCGCCAGGTTGAGCATATACATAAACCATAGTGCATTACAAGAGATACAAAGATACATATTCACAACAAATCATGTATATATACATATATTTGCTTGTAGGTCCCACATGTCAGACCTGTGGAGCGGGTCTGGTGGATAAGCGGGCGAGGATATCAAATTTCTTTGCCTACGAAGAACTATCCTCTAGGTTCAGGATGGTGCCCGCGCCCGTGCCCGCGGGCAAAAAGTGGTGCCCGTATCCTTGCCCATCGGGTTCCATGCCCACGGGCATGCGGGCATTCTGTGCCCGTTGCCATCTTTAGGCCCGACACCTCGCGCCCCTGGAGCCAACGCCAAGGCTTGTCTTCTTGTGTCACGCCACTTGTGTGACTTTGTCAGAGGAGTGGGCGATAGTGCTGTGGGCCCATTGTCGATCAAGGCGACACTAAGGAGCCCTTGAGCCCTAGACGCTTGGCGAGCTAAGGGGTGATGCTCGGGGCATTGATTCCTGCCTGAGCATTCGCTCAAGCTAAGGGCAAGCTCGGGGATGAGGCTCGGGCAACCATCAGTTGGGAGCTTGGGGCCTCAGTGAGGCCTTGAGTCCTGAGCAGAGCTTAAGGGCGTGCTTGGGCTTGACCTTGTACTTGGCTGGAGGGTACGTGCGAGCGTACCGATGGGTATAGCCCCTAAGCCCTCGAGCGATCTTAGAGGGTGGTCGGGAGTCCATCTCCTAGGAACTTGACAGACACCTATGTTAGACTCTCGTCACCAAGTCCATCAAATGACCACCATCAGACCCACTGTTGAGCTCACTGTTGTTGTCGTCATCTATGAACCCGCTCCCATACCCATGAATATGTGCGCTGCATGCTGGGAGGGAGAGGGTTGCATAGTCGATGGCTCCTATATAGCCACCTTGTCCTCCTCATGAGATTTGTCACTAACGCGCCCTATTCCTTCAAGCTTGCTGTTGATGGCCATCGTAGATCCGCCCCACCTCATATAGAGGAATAAGAAGATATGAGGATGACATAGATGAAGATGAAGCTCAAGGAAGGGATTTGGAAGTGTACCAACATGGAATGAAGGTGGCTACACCGCCATGCCCAACCAAGCAATCTACCATTGCGATATGGCTCGCCAGTCACCCCTTCGCCAGCATCGGTCAGATCTTCCGTCACCCGCACGGGAGCACTAGCGCATCTCCATTGAGCACCAAACGCACTCCACTAAGCACCGGACGTGCCTTTACCAGCACATGCCAAATCTACCCCTATTAGCACAAGATCTGGATCGAGACACATTTATAGAGCTCGAAGATGATGGTTGTAGCTTCTCATGTCGGGCTTCCTCCACCACCGCCGGATCTAGCCCGCTCAATCCCACCCCGATTGTATCTGACTTTCCCCTGCTTAATGCACCTAGCCCTGCTGGGTCAGGGTGGGCAGGGGTAGGGTGCCGCCCTTAGTCAGCATAGGAGAGGAAGGGTGGGGCTGCTATCATAACAATATGAAGGGGAAGCGACCGCCATCGTTTGGGTGGCGACACCCTTGGTCACTGGTGTGCAAGGAACCATACAAAGGGAAGAAGGCCGGAAGGGCATGAATTGGTAAGGAGGAGGAGGAGGAAGAGAGAGAGGGGGGGTTGGTGCGTGATGAAGGGGACAAGATAAGAGACTGGCGGATTTTGGATATGGGCAGATGGTAGTTTTTTTTATCAGGCCTTAGCAATATTCAGAGACGAGCCACTTAACTACTGTTTTTCTTTGGCTCTATTCATGACGACCATTAATATGACAGCAACAATGTTCAACAAAAGAGTAGATATCGGGTCTCCTTGACAAAGGCCTTTCTTTATTTGGAAAAAAATGGCCAATCTCACCATTTACGTTAATTGATCCACTTCCACCGGTGATAAAGATTTCTCCCATTTGATCCACTTGAGCGAAAAAACCTTTCATGTCCAATTGTCCATCCATCCATCCATATATAGAAATTATTAGACACCATGAGTGCCCCTTTTCCTGCCCTGCTCACACACACACTCACCGGCCATATATTTGGTATGTTGCTGATGCACCGTGGCCACTAATAACACCACACCGCTCCTCCGATCCGATCCGTCCATATGATATCTTAGCTTGCTTGTTGCACGGTGCATGGCCACTATCTTTGCTTCGCGTCATGTCCTTGCCCTATCGGCCTATCCTCATATCGTATCTCTAGCGGTCGATAGATGTTGCTGGATCTTGAGCCTCCCCATCCACTCTCGCAGCTGTCATCAACCCACTCATCGGCAGTGGCAGATCTAGGATTTTAGTACAGGGTATGCCGCACCAAAAAAATTCTTATGCAATTCGGTAAAACCATTTTCACATCGGTAAACCATATTCCAGTTCGGTAAAACAACATGCATTAATAACATGATAAGCCTTAAATTCAGCAATTAAGCTAGAACACTAGTACAGATTTCGAAATCACTGTCAGTTCAAAAAGGCCATCAGTGTCGGTTTTTAAACCGGCACAACTAAAGCGACAGTGATGATGGCGCTCATCAGTGCCGGTTCTAAAAAAACCGACATTGATGTGGTTTCCAGAAAACCTGAAAAAATGAGATGAAAATAGGGAATTATTTTTAATAAAATACCAAGAGAGACCCCACCTGGCAGCCACACTGTCATGCAATTTTTCGCACAAAAAACACACGCTTCGCGGCCACCAACTCTAGAACCCCAAACCTCCTGCTTCGCATGCTCATCACCTAACCACTCCACCTGTAAGACACTTGTGTACATTTGGGATATTCGTCCTCCCCATTTTATGTCACTTTGGATCGAAATGAATATTTAGGCTCCTAAACGAATTCAACTGAAAACGTTGTCAACTAAATAACACAATAAATCTTAAATTTGAAGAGTAAATTGAAAATATTTACAAATTATAATATAAATAGTTCAAACGCCAAACTAATAATTCAAAATGTAAAATAGGCATAAAAAGACAGTAGGAGGCTTACAATACTATTTATCTTACAATAAATGTCTCGATTATATCATTTTTATCCACTACAAAGAAAATGTGTCGTTTATCGACTAGACAATCATTTAAAAGATTACCCATCTTATTTTTTAAATTTATTTTTACTAAACGGAAAGCATCGTAGAAAATACCCTAATCATTTAATCTGTAGGCAGTTAGGTTTTGCGTGCATGTAGAGCCAGCAGGTAGCAAAAGAGCATCCCCTCAAAAAAAAGGTAGCAAAAGAGTAGTTTGGGTGGATCAATGAATGATGGCTGGAGCCTGGAGCGGTAGAGCCTAGAATCAAAGACATACGTATTAGGATCCTCCAAGGCGTGATTACGTGGACCTCCCGTCGTGTGGCTACGCGTGCCTGAAAAATGCCGTCTCGGTAAGGTCATAGCAGCGGCCACTACGTTATCATCTTCTCCGGTATGTTTTTCTTGTTTTCTTTTTTACAAAAATACATGTATACGTCCTCTACTGTCTGGAACTGCAGGGTATGCCGGTGCATACCTGGCATACCCCGTAGATCCACCCCTGCTCATCGGGATGGCCGTCGTCACTTGACCTCGCTGCCGGCCATATCTCTACTCACAGTGTTTGCTCTCCGCCGCCACTTCGAAACCCTGGCTGTTCTTACCACCAAAAATCGCAACACAAGTTAAATTTTACTCCCTCCATCCCAATTTATATGTCGTTTTGGCATTTTTAGATACATATTACATAGCAAAAACTAGTATGTATCTGTAAAAAAAAACTATAACTTAGGATATAGGGCAGTAACCCGTCAAAGAGTACCAAGCCTTGCGAGAGAAGCTAGGTACTGCACACACGGCATTCTACTCGTATATATATTAGATACGGACAGTCATACATGGATGGTGGAAAAGATTAACTGACTCGCTTCTCCTTTTGCAAAATCCGTCACCTGGTCAACATATCCTTATTGCGTGGTTCGGCTGACTTGCATTGGGTGACTCAAGTCTTAGTGGGTAGGCTGAGACGGTGAGAATTCCAACACACACACTGACAAACACACTGACACACAACCGCCGGGCGCCGGCTTTGTCGCCGACGTCACCATTCCCTTACTACATAGACACACAGTACATACACGCCGCAGCCGGCAGCTCATCTGTATCTATTTAAACGCGCTCCATCCGGGCCGGTCACTGTATCATCTATCCTCCTCCTAGCTCCCACTGGCCACTCCCACACCCGCAGCAATGGCACGCGGCGGCTCTACCGCTGCTCCTCCAGCCCTCCCGCTGCCGCTGCTGCTGGTGGTGGTGTCGTCCTCCGCCTTTTTCGCCTGCTGCTGCCTCGCCGCGCCGCCGGGCGCTCTGGTGACGAGCGTCCCGGGGTTCGCGGGCGGCAAGCTGCCGTCGAAGCACTACGCCGGGTACGTGACGGTGGACGAGGCGCACGGCAGGCGGCTCTTCTACTACCTGGTGGAGTCGGAGCGTGAGCCCGCCAAGGACCCCGTCGTGCTCTGGCTCAACGGCGGGCCAGGCTGCTCCAGCTTCGACGGCTTCGTCTACGAGCACGGTGCGTAATTACGTCCGTCGTCGACGACGACGACCTCCTCTGCCCTGCCTCTTGTTTCTTTTCTTCTGGTCGTCGTGTGCGTGTCGTCACGAGTTTTCTGCCCTGCCTCTTGTTCCTGTTGTGGACGGAATCGAGAAAAGGCGAGCAAGAATGTAGCGGCGCGGTGGGGTCCGGATGGCAGCTGCTGGTTGCTGCGCTGTTGCTTTCTAGTAGAAGAACACTAGGCATCGGCATCGCACAAAGTAGCCGGACGCACTGGATCGTGTATATCACGTCGCTGTCTTCTGGGGAAGCTAAACTAGTATCATCATATTCCCTGGCCTAGCTACTATATTTGACATCCCTCCATCGCATTTTTCTTTCCCGCTTTCCTCACCATGCATCTTTCTTTTCCAACCAACTTGTTGAGCAGGAAGGGATCTGATAAGGATGTAGAATAATTGAGCATGCATTTTGGGGATCCAACTTTCATGGATGGGGTTGGGGTGGCGAGCTGGGCTGTGCAGTGGATGTGATCAAATTTGCCTGACGTGCAGAGTTCAATTAATATGGACGTGGGATGGTTTTAGGGAACTTGAGGCCACGTTTAGTTCGCGAAAATTTTTGGGTTTGGCAACTGTAACACTTTCATTTGTATTTGGTAATTAGTGTCTAATCATGGACTAATTAGGTTCGAAAGTTTCGTCTCGCGATTTCTCACCCAACTGTGCAATTAGTTTTTTTTCGTCTACATTTAATGCTCCATGCATACGTCCAAAGATTCGATGTGATGGGCAAAAACCAAAAATTTTTTGAACTAAACATGGCCTGAAATAAATGCAACAGTGAAGGCGATTGGCGGATGTGTAGTGCGGCACCAGGAGCCAAGGTAGGGTTTTGGGATTATGCATGTTTAGGGTTGATGCCTTGATGGGAGGAAATATTGGACCACACTAGTGGAGGTTGTTAGTGGATGTTGTGGCGACGCGCTAGGGGTCGTTGGTAATAGGGTGGTGAAGGACGATGGTTGGTGGGTCGAGTCAGGACAAGGGCATCAATTACCTTGAGAGTTGGTTAGCATGGCGGATCACAAATCCGATGGCAGGAGCCACAAGACGAGCAGAGTGTGGGGTTATGGCGATAGATATTTCTAGCTAGACGCTAAAACAAGTGACGAACAAAGATAGAGAAGGAAAAAGGTGTACCAATGGAATATGGAGATTGGAGAGAACCAATGCAAACGTCCTGAATTTAGACATAATTCGGGTAAAAAAAATCCTTTTCGAAAGCACAGAGAAAAGCTTGGGTGCTTAATTTGATACACTTCATATTATTTGTATGTGTTCCTTTGATATATATGATCAATATTTGTATTCTTATCTTTGCTCTTTTTACATCACAATATTGCTTCACAACTTGGTATTTCCTTTAGAATATTAGATGTAGCTTTGTAAAGAATTTAGCGGTCTTATTAGTAACATCTGAGTGGGACCCAAGAGGGGAGTAGTAAATTGGGTCACTAATAAAAAATTGAACCCAGGGCTCCAACACGATTCTACTCTAGATAATAACTACTAACTAACAAGAAGTGCGCCTAGAGATTATCTAGTGTCTCTACCTACGTACCCACTCACATGGAGTTTCTGCAACCTATAACCAACCGTATCAACTATCCTAAGTTGATCTAGAAAGGTAGAATACACACAAACAGATGAAACATAAGCGACGTAAGTAAAAATCAAGTGAGGAAAGAGCAAACTTCCAAGAAGCGATGTTATATATCCTGTGGTACTGGTTGCTGAAAAGAAACCCCTAGCCCATGTTAGAGCTCCAGGATATGCTCCCAGCCATGAAACCCTCACCTTTGAGATGCCCTACTCTCCCAGTCACATTGATGCAGTCCACTATGGTGCTTCGTCACCAAAGGGTTTAATTTCCTTGTCCCCAGTGCATGATGTCACTGCTGCTCCACATGAAGTTCCAAGGGTCGTTGACATGGCCAGTGCGCCAGTAAGGCTACAGCATGCAGAGATTATAAGATCACACAACTCTATCTCTCATACTAAGTACTATACAGGCCCCTGGATCAAGCAATAAGTGTCAGCCTAAGCCTAAAGGTATATTCTAACATTTTGCAACATTCATAGTGGGGATGCCGTAGACAAGCCTAAGGTTGTAACTCGAAGAGTTATCACCCCTTGCAATCATAACGGTCCATGCATCCTGGATGTTGGATGGAGTGAAGCTAAAAAGTTACTCAAGCGGGGCGATATCATGATAGGTCTTTGTGCATATGTTGATATTGTCGAGGATGTCGTGTGTATGATAGTTGTGGTCAACAGAGATGTCAAAGTTGCCAAAGATGAGTTAGCCACACAAGAAGCCTCAAAAACCCAAGGTGTTTCTATGGGGATGGTGGTTCATAGGAGATGTCGCCATGAATGAATACGATGCATTGAGGCAGCCATTGATGGAGAGTTGATGCCAAGGATGCAGTCGATGTCACCATGGACGAGGTATGCACTGGGTTTACCATGCCTAGGATTCTGTTAGGGATAAAGACAACCATTGGTGTTGCCAATACTAAACGTACTAGAGGGAGGTTCTCAACCATGCATCAACATCTAAAGTACTAGCAGAGAAAGCCTCCAGGATTAGTATAGTGCACAAAATGGTAGGGTAGAAGATACCAATGCAGCCCACTGTTGTTGGAGTAGACGAAATAGGTGAGGAAGATATGGAGAAGCTAGCAAGGAGCTTGTACTGGACAAAGTGAGGAGGTAGGTCTAGGTGATCTTGTGCATGGCCTGGTGATTTGGATGCCATGACGGCGATGCTCAATGTGAAGAACATGAATATCCTACCAAACACTTTGCACGTGATGTGGACAATGTCCTAGCCACATAAGTAGTTTGTGTCAATTAAGATGCAATTGCAAAGAATGCCATGAGTGGCGATGATGTGGCATGGCAATAAGATGCAGTAGCATTTGGAGGGAGGAGGCATGTAGTACTTGATGACAATGGAGGCAATGATGAGCTAGCATTGAGTGACGTGCTAGAGGTGGCCAATGTAGTTGAGGCCGGTGTCAATGTAGATGCACGCGCAAAGACGAGGTCTGCAGGGGAATTAAAATGATGTTAGATCGGGAAAACAATAAGGAACCTTGATCAATGACTAGTGAGAGAGAAAACTATGATTATCCTATCAAGAAAAGATTCTCTCTAGGGTGATCATTCATCGCGCATTTGGTGGCAAGAGGCTACATATGGTGGACCTGTCATCCATGGGGGAGATTATCATGGGTGATCTTGGGTGGGTGGGTGGGCGTTGGGGGGGCGCTATTGCGCAACGGAGTAATGGACAATTAGTGGCACGAGCATATAAGGGCATAGGTGGAGCAAAAGACTACGGTTTACGACCTAGAACCTGAATCTCAACTTATGATACCATGTAAAGGAACTAACCCAAACTGGAGATGCCTAATACACTCTAAAATCTTTCATCTCAATTTATGTGTGTTTTTTTGGGTCCAGGGCCATTCAACTTTGAGGCAGGAGGGTCAGCTGGAAGCTTGCCAAAGCTTCATCTCAACCCTTGTAGCTGGTCTAAGGTTGGACATTCCCGTTGGTCCTAAGGATAAATTATCTGGTGTGTTCAAGCTGAACTGAGACAGACTAGTGATGTTTCCCTTGCATTGTAGGTGTCTAGTGTGATATACTTGGACTCCCCTGCTGGTGTTGGGCTGTCTTACTCCAAGAATGTTTCAGATTATGAAACTGGTGATCTTAAGACTGCTGCTGATTCGCATACTTTTCTTCTCAAGGTAAATATATATGTTTTTTTGTGTTGGTGCATTAGTAAATTTATCATCTATAATCTTTTTGTAGAACAAAAGCTGATCAGTTCCCTCCCGTTACTTTTAACCAGTGGTTCCAGCTCTACCCTGAGTTCTTGACAAATCCATTTTATATAGCTGGAGAGTCATATGCTGGAGTTTATGTCCCTACCCTTTCACATGAAGTTGTCAAAGGTTTTGGCTTTGGGATAGTAATGATCCTTAAACTGCTAGTTGTTTTGATATTGTTACTGATGAATTATTTAACAGGAATCCAAAAAGGAGATAAGCCAATTCTAAACTTTAAGGTTAGTAATTTTAATTATATTGTTGCTGCCTCCATGAGAACGGCAAAACATGGTTACCAAGGAAATATATATAATAATGCTCAAAGTTTTGTTCTGTACTCTCATGTTAGGGCTACATGGTTGGCAATGGTGTATGCGACACCGTCTTTGATGGTAACGCTCTTGTGCCATTTGCACACGGAATGGCTCTAATTTCAGAGAGTATATATAAGGTACATCAGTATAACTGTACCCCGACTGATATCCTCACCCTGAAATAATTTCTTTAATTACACCATGAAGTTTTATTGATGGTATTAGAATACTTCCTTCATATCCTTTGAATACACAAAATACTTCTAAAACTTTGTGTGTCCGTTGAAACATACATATGTTCTTTCGATTTACCACAATTTCTATACAAAATGTAGGAAGCCAACACTGCATGTCAAGGAAATTACTGGAATGCTAGCAGTGCAAAATGCGACGAAGCGCTGTCAAAAGTCGATACGGTAAACCAGTGACACTATCTGGTAAAAATAAATAAATATATATTATTCTCATATTATATAATATGTTTTTGTGTAGGTACTTGACGGATTAAATATTTATGACATTCTTGAGCCATGCTACCATGGCACAAATACCAAAGAAGATCCCACAAAATAACAAACTGCCACCAAGTTTCAAAGATCTTGGTGTAACTAGCAAGCCCCTTCCAGTAAGAACAAGAATGCATGGACGGGCCTGGCCTCTGAGAGCTCCTGTAAGAGATGGGCGTGTTCCATCATGGCAGGAGCTAGCTGCATCAGTTCCCCGTGGAGTTCCGTGTATGGTGAGCACAAGCACACTAACCATCCCTACTATAACTCTATTATCTGTCATAACATTAATGTTCTGCTCCAGAGGTTGCTCTTTATCTCTTTTTGTACTCTCTCATTTTCTTTACAGAAGTCATTGGTTGCTTACATCCTCTTTACTTACAAATTTGACCACTAGTTTCTATCACATTATTGAAAGATACAAATAAAAAATATATTCATGAAGAAAATCTAGATATGCGTAGTCAATGTGTAAAACATCCCACTATAGATCGCCATATATGTATGTGAGCTAGTGTAGTAATACACTAATACTAATATGTGCAATTCCATTGTTTAGTTCATTTATCTTTATCTTCTCGGATTATAATGTGTAAGGCAGGAACATCTTCCAGCTTTATCTTCTCCGAAATATAGAGGAGTAATTTTTTCTCCCAAGTGAATCATGATTCGTTTTGTCCCATTTTCTTATGTACCCTCCCTGTCTTGTTTTCTTAATCTTCAGAGTGATGAAGTTGCAACGGCATGGCTAAACAATGATAACGTCAGATCTGCGATTCATGCCGAACCAGTATGACAGTCATACACTAAATAACCACCGTGTACTTATTGATGGACCGATTCTAAAGATTTCCACCTTCTAACCATAGTTTATCATGCACATTTATTAGGTCAGTTCAATTGGACCCTGGCAATTATGCACAGATAAAATAGATTTTGATCATGATGCTGGGAGTATGATCATTTATCACAAGAACCTTACAAGCCAGGGTTATCGTGCTTTGATTTACAGGTACTTCAAGACCTATAAAATTATAATATGATTTCGGCTCCTACATATTCATAGATTCACAAAAACTGCTATTATCATTGGTATATTTCTTTTGCATTTGTTTCAGCGGTGACCACGATATGTGTGTACCTCACACTGGGACTGAAGCATGGACTGCGTCCTTAGGCTACGGCATCGTTGATTCATGGCGACAATGGATTGTCAATGAACAAGTTGCTGGGTATTTGAACAAACATTGACTCTTTTCTCCTAAGATGTTCAAATCATTTTATCCTAGAGGCTGAATTATTCTTCAATATGAATTCACTATAATCAACAAAAGTTAACATTTCTTTCATGAGGGAAATCTTCAGTTAGGTGATTTATTTATTTTCCATTGTTTTCAGTCAAATGTTTGTATGTTCTCAAGGAAAGAAATTAAGGACATGTTGCTTGCTCACATATTTTTGCTTGCTATACTACTCAGGTACACCCAAGGATATGAAAACGGCCTCACTTTCGCCACTATTAAGGTGTGGTACAGTTTCAAATTAAACTTTGTCTATTAATCCATGGATTCGCAAACACGAAACTAGCCTGCCAAATCAGAAACAAATTGCATTTAATTGAGTAATGACACATTATTGAAACACAAAAAAATCTAAGTTGCGTTTTTTTAACTATCCTGTTTAATTTGTTCCTCTCGCAGGGTGCTGGCCACACAGTTCCTGAGTATAAACCACAGGAATCATTGGCTTTCTACAGCCGTTGGCTTAACGGTACTAAGCTGTGATACTCATGAAGGAGCTCCTGACGAAGGGAGGCCTATTTCTGTGCAAGGTCATGTAGTACTGAATCAAACAGAGCACAATGTGGAGAAATTGGAAAAAAGCATACAGCAATAAGGCAGCCAAAGGATCAAATTACCTAGCACCAACTACGATGTTGCATTGATTTGTGCAAATATTGTATCAAAGTACCTTACATGCATTATTCATTAGTTCACTGTGACCAAACATTTGTGAAAATTTTCCTTGATATTTTTTGAATCATAGTATAAACATAGAGGCTCATATACACGATCATGCGCACTCTACTTCTATGACCACCTTCAGGCCTAATTGGCAACCTAGACATATTCCTCTAGCCAGACTTATAGGCTGCAACTGTCTCTGTTTGGTAGGTTGTATGGAGTTTTAATTTGGCCTGGGATGTTTTGGTGCAAGAAAAGGGCCCTGAGGTTGCACCACAAGGAACAAAATTTCCTTGCTGCGTAGGTATGAGCAAGCTGATTTTCGAGGCAAGGCATAAGATGGCAGAGTTGGTGTATGCCATTGGTGCCACCCAAAATTGGTGTGGCTAGGATTACTTACCCTACTGATATATATGGAAGGTGCCGGTGGTTTCCTCCCTTTCCACTCGGTTTTTCTTGTCTCCGGCTAGACAGTCTATTTTTCCGGCTAATTTGTGGTAATGGCCATTTTCCTGTTGGACCTTCCAATGGTTGCCCCAATCAACGGGAATCTTCCATTCGGGCTAATGACATTCTTGGAAAGGAATCAAGTGCCACGCTAGCCCTAGCCCATGTTCCAAATGTTTCTCCTCGGCCCAAAACAGGTTGTTCTGCCCAAAACCCATCCATTGCCGGAACTGTCATCGCTCATCAGGACACAACTATCAAATTGTCGTTTCCCACTTCAATCATAGTGCCCTTCCATTCCGTGACTCAATTGTGGCTCTCTGACTTCTCGTCCTGTCGCATAGGCTGTTTCACCAACTGTTGGGGCCAAAAGATCACTAGGGACATTTGCTTCCTTTGGAGAATACAACTTTTACTCACTCACATCACTCCACCTCCCTCTTCTCGCTCTCATTCGTTGGTCTCGGCCCTGGCGTATCATGACGTTGGAGTTCGATGACGAAACCTTGGAGAGTTCACCGATGTCCTTATAGGTGATCATGTTTGTTGTCTCCCCTTTGCCAGTCTACTTGTCATTCAGTGAGTTCGCTTCCCTTGCTTGGGGTTCTCTTGCCTTTCCTCCCTTACTACATGAAAGCATCTAGGCCCCTAGTTGGGTTTCGGTGATTAATGACAATACGTGATTACTGTGACTAACGTGTGTTTTGCAGAGGCAACTAAGTTAGGTCACGGTAATGGAGATCGATTGGGCTATCATGGTGGTCATGCCCCTACGATGGAAATCATTTCGGTTTTCAAATGATGGACAATAAGGTTAATGATGGACTAGTTCTAAGTGTTGATTGGAGTTGAAGAGACACTTAGAGTAGTTTAGGACTTTATTTTTCCTTTGGTCATACTATTAAATGGGGGTATGGACGGGTAGCTTGACCTAGTTGAGTATAGTGAGTTAGGTGTGGTGCACACTTGCTAAATCTAGCACTAGGTAGCTCCTAAAAGGCCCTTAGATCCATTGAAGCAAACTTCATTCACATATGATCGAGAGTTGGAAGTGAATGGAGGGTCAAATACTGACCGGACGCTGGCTCCGTGGTGACCGGACGCTGGCGCAGAGTCTGGTCAGTTCATTTGATCAAGGTGAAATCATCTAGTGCGACCGGACGCTGAGAGGTGAAGTGACCGGACGCTAAGTCCCAGCGTCCGATCGACTCCAGTAATGTTCTAGAGAGGGAAAATCACGACCGGACGCATCCGATCAGTGTTGATCGGACGTTGTCCAGCGTCCGATCACAACTTAAACACTGGAGTTCGGGGAGAACTGACCGGAGCATACGGTCAACATGACCAGAGCATCTGGTCACCCCGCAGAAGCACATAACGGTTCATTTTTCAGCCATGGTTATAAATACTTCCTCTATTCGTGTGTGGGGGTACTTTTGCTCATTCCAACAGCTGAGATACACCTTTGAGAGTGCCAAGAAGAGCAAGGTCCTAGTGAGGTGATTGAGATTTGAGAATCCCAAAGAGAGCCCTCATTAGTGAAAGCAAGAGTAGCAAAGTGTGTATCCACCCTTCTCATTAGGCTTGTCGTGGTCAAGTGAGAGTTCGTGCCTGTTACTCTTGGTGATCACCATCACCTAGACGGCTTGGTGGTGATTGGGAGCTTGGTGATCATCCGGTGGAGCTTATGGATGACCCAACTCAAGTTGTGAGTGGTTGTGGGTGATTCACCACGACGGAGTGTCAAAGAATCAACCCGTAGAGAGCACTTGATCCTTGCGCGGATCAAGGGGGAGCTACACCCTTGCGCGGGTGCTCCAACGAGGACTAGTGGGGAGTGGCGACTCTCCGATACCTCGGCAAAACATCACCGCGTTCCTCCTTCTCTCTTTACTTTGAGCATTTACTTTGAGCAATTCAATTCTTGTCATTTACTTTCATAGAATTGCCATGCTAGAGTAGGATTGGAACATAGGTTGCTAAACTTTTGTGCGATAGATCAATAGAAATACTTTCTAGGCATAAGAGGTTAATTGGGCTAACCGTAGGACTTAATTATTGCAAAGAAATTTAGAATTAGCCCAATTCACCCCCCTCCCTCTTGGGCATCTTGATCCTTTCAATTGGTATCAGAGCCTCGTGCTCACGTTTTTAGGCTTAATCGCTTAGAGAAAGATGTCTCACGGGGATGGACCTCCTATCTTTGAGGGAGATGATTTTCCATATTAGAAAATCCACATGGAGGCGTATCTAGAAGCTCTAGATGTTGAAATACTTAGAGCCGCCTCACAAGGCTTCCCAAAACCTTGGGATGCTACACACCTACAAGGCGATATGGTGAATTACGAAAAATAGAATGCAAAGGCTCGAAACACCATCTTTAGAGGCCTTTGCAAAGATGTGTTCAACCGGGTGAGGAACCACAAAGACACCCATGCACTATGGTCGGACGTTTATGCGCTCCATGAGGGAACAAAGAGTGAGCGTGAGGAACGCTATCATCTTGTCATGAAAAATCTTAACTCTTTTGAGATGCTTCCTAAAGAATGTGCTAATGAAATATACTCACGCTTGAATGTTCTTGTAGAGGAAGTCAATGGGCTTGGACTCACTCAAATGCAACCATCCGATGTTGTAAGAAACATCTTGAGTGTCCTCCCCATTGACAAATATGGGCATATTGTGACCGTGCTTCATCAAGGTGATCTTTCCACCGCTACACCGACACAAATTTTGGGAAAGATCAATGCTCATGAGATGTACATGCACATCACACCACAAGATGGCTCATCCTCTACTAAGAAGAAAGAAAAAGACTTAGCATTCAAAGCTAGCCAAGAGAATGACAAAGCAAGGCTTGAGAGAGAGCTCAAGTGATGATGAAGTTGATGATGCAAGCCTTGCTCTCATGGTGAAAGGAACCACCAAGATGCTAAAGAAGCTCAACAAGAGTGGCATCAAGTTCGATGGCAAGAAGAAGTTCTTCACAAGCTCTAGAAGGAAGCCAATCTTGGAGATGGATTGCTATAATTGTGGAGAACTTGGTCATCTAGCACATCAATGCACAAAGCCCAAGAAAGACAAGTACAAGGGCAAGAAAGATGACTCAAGCAATGAAGAAGAAGATGAGAAGAAGAAAAACAAGCCATACAAGAAGAGAGATGGCAAGAAGAAGGACTTCCACAAGAAGAAGAAAAGTGGAAAGGCATACATCGTCGGTGATTGGCTCACAGACATTGATTCATCTAGTGGCTCATCCGATGATGATAGTGACAATGAGAAGGTGGCCGCCATTGTTATTGACTCTTCACCATCTTCACCACCACCACCGCCATCATCCTCTACACACCTATGCCTTACGGCCAAGGGTGATCGCAAGGTATCAAATGATGATAGTAGTGGTGATGAACATGCTAGCAATGATGATAGCGATGGTGATGATGATGAATATGAATCACCTTCTTATGATGATCTTGTTAAATTGCTAAATCAATACACTAAGATCATTAGAAAGAGTAGAGCTAAAAATGAAAAACTAGAAGCTAAGAATGATTCTCTTTTAGCTAAATGTGATGTAGCCGAAAAGGCTAGTGTTGAGCTTAGAGAAGCAAATGATGCTATATCATCCAAACTCAAGGAGCTCAAATCTTCTAAGAAAGAGCTTAAAGATAAACATGATAAACTTGAGAGGATACATAATGAGCTCATCACTAGCCACAACAAGCTAAAAGAAGAATATACTACTCTTAAGATTAATCATGATAATCTTGTCATTGCTCAAGAATTTCTATCCAATGAGCCACATGATGCTACTAACAATGTTGTTAAGATTGATATAGCTACATCATGTGATGATTTGATCATTGAGAGCATTGAGCAAAGTTCTAGTAGTAAGGGCAAGCAAGTGGTTGAGGCCAATGATTATGATGAGTTTGTCAAGCTCAAGAATGACAATAAAAAGCTCAAGAAAGATCTTGAAGAGATCAAAAGCCACAACACTATTGTGCTAGAAACTCTTGATCATGATAGTGATTTGAATCTTGAGAATGAGAAGCTTAAAGAAGAGAACAAGAAGCTCAATGAAGAGAAAAATAATGATGCTCTCAAGGAAGAGAACAAGAAGCTCAAGTTGAAGAAAGAGCATCTCAAGATTGGATTGAGCAAGTTCATAAGAGGTAAGCATCTTCAAAGTGAGCTACTAATGAACACCGCCATGAAGATGGATAGAAGTGGCATTGGATACTTGGCAAACCAAGAGAAGAAGGCTCAAGCTCAACAACAACACAAGTCAAAGCCAAAGCCAAAGAGATGTTTTGAGTGTGGACAAGAAGGCAACTTTGCCCATGAGTGTCAAACTCCACCACCACAACCCT